AATCTAGATTACTCACAAGTTTCAATACAAACTTTTACGCAAATTATACTTATTCACAATAATCTTTTTAAGATTCTTTACTTTTTTAGACAAAAAAAGGTTCAAAATTTTAGAACTATTGAGTGCTGAGGAATTACGTTTCGTTTTCTTAATAAAGAAATTAAACAAAATTACAAAAATAATTTATTTAAGTACCGTTTTCATAATTTATTGGCTTTGGCCAATCTAAATTAATCGCGATTACATCTAAAGCAAGTATATCAACTTCCATGCCAATAAGAGAACAAACATTTGGAACTGTCCTATCAAAATCACCATGAACAAACTCTTTAATATATGTTCCTGCTTGTGTCACAACATTTAGCTTAAACATATTGTCTTTTTCAGGGACTCTTGAAGCTTTCATTTCATGGATAGTTTTCTTTCTTGTTGCCAAGGGTCTCCTATGCAACACACGAATTGGAGTGTCTTGAAATATTTCTAGTGGAGCTGATTGGTTCAAAATGTTAATTTTCTCATCAGAAACTGGTCCCTCAACTATACAAAGGGCAATATATTGCTTTGTCTTGGTTTCTTCACCCTTTTTTATTTGGCATAGATCTTCTCTAACAGTGGGCTGCAAATCTTGGACTTTTATCATTTTTGAAAGGTTTATTGCTTTCTCCAAAGTTCTAAATTGTTCAAAACTAAATTCAGTTACTCTAGGATCATTAATTTCAATGTAAAAAGGCCTTCCCCTTCCCAAACATCGAACATCACAGTCTTCTCTACCACTGGCAGTAAATTTTAAATTATTTAATGGAATACCAAATATTTTATGGATTTCATTGAAAATTATTTCCTGAACTGAAGTTTCCATGGTCTTTACTCCATCAATTATCCATGGACTTTGACTCAGTTCTCTTGAATATTTACAGTATCTACCTGCAAAATAAATTGGGTTGTGTTTGCATTCTATTGATTTACACTTCAACCATTTCAATGGAACTTCTGGGGGTACAGGACAATGTTTTAAGATATTATCATCTTTGATTTCACTTAAAAGGTTCAATATATCTTTTCTTGTATATATTTCTCCAGAATACTTTTTCCTTTGCTGTGTCCTTGTTTTAAAGTGATTGGGTGCAGCTTTCTGAAGCAATTTTAACTCTTGATCTTCATCTTCATAATCCAAAATAATATTTACTGAAAAATTACAAATGACTGAATTTTGAAAGGTCTTATTTAACTTTGATGCAAGTTTATTTTTAATTACAACCTTCCAAATCTTATTCAACTGTGTTTCTTGTGTGTCATCTTTGTAAAAGTCTGGAAATTTCCTTTTTAAATCAATCTTAACCAAGTGTTCTCTGAGAAGTATGTTAACGGGCATACTAACTGAACATGTAAACGTTTTTGAATCATATTCCGCTGCAGTATTAAGCTGTACATTTTGTATTATTTCGTCTATCACAAAGTCTTGTAATAATCCAAGGCATGCTATACAAGGGTTTGGTCTTACTCTTTTTATGCTTATAGTCTCTTCACTACTTTTTACATCACTCATAAACTGCTCTATATTTAGATAAGAATCCTCCTTGCGGATATTTAAATACCTTAAGCAACAATATTTACAACATCCGATCGTCAATAAATGATCAATTATTTGGTTTTTCAATTCTTCACACATACTTTTTCAATATTTTAGAAGATAGGTTAACGACAAAAAAAAAGGTTAGAAAGGTCTAACATGAAAGTGGCTAACATAGATGTAAACGGAATTATAATTGTTTTTAGATGTGTTTAAAATGAACAATCATCGTTTCAGGGAATCCCGTCTAACTTGGGAAAAAGTGATTGAAAAATCGATTTTTCTTAAACTAATTTTAATATAATGTTAAGATGCAACACGTTAAATTTATTAAAATAAATTCTTTTACACCTTTGTTGAAGTTTATTATTGTTTAAATAAGAAAATTATTTCTACATAAATCCTTATTTATTGTTAATTTTTAACAGTGTTTAATGTAAAATATGTAGAAAATATTGCAGATACAAACAATATAAATCTGCAAATTATACGACAATGACTTCTTAAAATTAGTAATTACCTAATTATGTAATATTATATTATCAGATAAAGTAAATAGGTATTTTCATATTTGTTTGGTCTATTATCATTTTAAAATAGCTTTTGTACATTGAATACACTGATAGTAGAAGTGCATTGCTCGGAAAATGTCTGAAAGCAAACAGTTACATAGTATTGACGAAAAATTAGATAAATTATCGATTAATGATCAGAAAGATGTCTACAAAATTTTAAACGGAGTCGGATTTCAGTAAGTAGATACAAATTTCATTATTCTAAAGATAAATAAATGAAAAGAAAACATCTTCCCAATTCGCTTGTAATTGAAAAAGAGTGTCTAAAGTCTCGTATAATTTATATTTCATAATGAAAATCTACTTGCTTGAAGATAGGCAGCAATTGGAACAGTTTTTTTTATTTAACTTAAAGCAATGCCTACTTAGAAAGAAGTAGTTTTTAATTAACTTGCTTTTTTTTTAATCACAGATCTTTGGCATTGCCAGATACCGCAAAAGAGTATGCAAAAATTAATAATTTAGAATTGGCGGGGTACGAATACCCCTCCAAGGTAGAACAACTTCGAAGCCCAAGAATTGTTAAAATTGGCGCATTTCAAAATAAACTACCCCTAAAAACAGATGCGCCAATTGCCCAAATGAGGGATGCATTATATAAACTTGCTCTAGAAGCAATTACTATGGCCTCTTTAGCAGAAGTTAACGTTTTCTGTTTTCAAGAGGCTTGGAGTGAGTAAATTAAAATTAATATAAATGAAAATTTGCGCGATTTCTAATTATCATTACAGCAATGCCTTTTGCTTTTTGTACTCGTGAAAAACAACCCTGGTGCGAATATGCCGAATCAGCAGAAAATGGACCAACAATTAAATTTTTACAAAATGTAAGATTAACAGTTAACGTGGTGTAATTTAATAACTAAATATAAATCGCGATTAATGCATAGGTAATATAAATGTTTTAGCTTGCCAAACAGCACAATATGGTTATCATTTCTCCTATATTGGAACGAGATGAAACACATGGGGATTTAATTTGGAATACCGCCGTGGTAATCGATAATTACGGTGACATTTTGGGGAAGCACCGAAAAAATCATATACCGAGGGTTGGAGATTTTAATGAATCGACGTATTATTTTGAAGGGAATACTGGTCATCCAGTTTTTCAAACAGAATTCGGAAAAATTGCAATTAACATTTGCTACGGTCGCCATCATCCCTTAAATTGGTTGATGTTCGGAATAAATGGAGCAGAAATTGTTTTTAATCCTTCTGCAACCGTAAGTATCTTCTTAAAGAAATATTTTAATCATTCATAAATAGACCATTTGAAACTTCTTAAAAATTTTGTCTGAATTTTGAGCTTGGTATTTTTTAATTTAGGTCGACTGTACTATTGACCTATGCGATTGGTTATGGGGGGGGGTGAGAAAATTTAAAACTAGTTTTTCAGTAATTTGAATTTACGTTTTTTAAAACAATAAAACATTTTTTTTAATACTTGTTATCACAAAATCTACTACCTATAGTAAAATCTATACATAAAAGTAATGTGAAAGTCTATAATATCAAAATGTAACTGCCATTTTTATTTTTAGATTTTCCGAAGGTTTTTTTTTATTTTTAATCATTTAAAAATTTTTCTTTCCTAATGGAAGAATGTATTTACATTTTTGTTCTGAAATTATTTAAATTTCGAGAATTTATTTCGTCCTTTGGAAGATAATTTTTTTATTTTCGACTTTTTAGAACGCCATAATAATTTTTTCTTTAATTTATTTAAACTTATACAAGTATATATATGAGTGCTATCAATAATAAGACAAACACGACCCTTAAAAAATTTTTGTCGTATAATAATTGTATTTAATTTAAACAATTAAAAATAGTTTCAAACGCCAACAAATTCGCTGATAAAAATTACCGAAAAATATAATTGTTTACTTACAATAATGACAGTAAACTACAATAAAGATAAATTAAGGGATGCTTAAACTAATTAAAAAACTAAATTAAAAAATATGTCTAACAAATAGGTTGGTGAACTTAGTGAACCATTGTGGGGCATAGAAGCAAGAAATGCAGCCATTGCAAATGGCTATTTTACTGTAGCAATAAACAGGGTCGGAACCGAAATTTTTCCGAACGAATTTACATCGGGAAATGGAAAACCTGCACATAAAGATTTTGGTCATTTCTATGGATCTAGCTATGTGGCAGCTCCGGATGGTTCAAGAACAGTGGTAAAATGTTTATTGATATAAATTAATACATAAATGTTAGTAAATAGATCTATGTTCATAACAATTTTCCATTTTGATGCTATCTAATCGTTAGAGAAAATATGTACATGGTCGCGATAAAAAGCATTTTGATATTATTGTATAAATTCAATATTCGTTTTGTTTATTACGTAATTACATCAAAAATTTATCTCTTCAGCTGATTATGGTGCATTTACGATTAAACATTTTTAAATAACGAAATCAACTAAGATCATATTTCAAGAAATTATTTTGAAAGAAAGAATCTCACAATTCTTTTTTTAAGACCAGAATTGATTAATTAAATGACTTTAATTTTTTCAAAGACTAGAATTTCGTAAAACTATCCAACTTTTATGCCAACGTTTTTGTTTTGCAATTAAATCATGGAGATATCTATTTTCTATTCCTTAATTAAAAGATTAAAGGGTTCCTTAAGCCTACTTTTTGTAAAAGGAATATTTGTTTTATCAGAATATTCAATTAAAAATTCTATTCAAGCTGGTAAAGAACAATTGGAAAAAAATGCTCGGGTTTAAATGTTTTTGCGTGGGTATATAGTTGGTTGCATATGCATACATCATCAATACTCCTAGAGATAATACATATAGCTATCAAGAGTCAAAATTGTCCTTTTTGTTTGTTTTTTAGTTTATTATGCCTTACTTTCTTAATATCTCAACAAATTTTTCAAATTTAAGGGCCTGTCAAGGATTAACAGTGGTTTATTGGTTGTAAAAGTTGATTTGAACACTTGCAGGCAAATAAAGGACCACTGGGGGTTTCAGGTGCGTCATTTCAGACTTTTCTTATTTCTTGAAGTCGTACAAAAAAATATTTCTCTAATGGTTCATTAAATAATTAAATTAATGCGTTTAAACATTTTTTTCGTGTTCCAGATGACCCAACGCTTAGATATGTATGCCGAAGCCTTACAAAAAGCCACAAATCTGAATTATGAACCGCAATTAATCATTAAAAAGTGAATATTATTTTGTACTAATCAAATATTTATCTATTTTGCTGTAAATCGAATCATATTAATTTTTGGTGAATGTTTATACAGTTAATTAACGCAATGTACTAATTATATATATATGTGTATGTACTTTAAAAATAAAATAACCCTTAACTCCACCCAATTGTTTATTTGTGTTTATAGGTACATCACATTCATATTTATTTAGATGTTACTGATTTATAAAAATTACGAAAAAATGGTTAAAATTAAAATCATTGTTTCTATCAACAATTTTATTTACAATCACAAAAACTTTTAAATGCTATATTACAATTTCTTTGTTTTAATTATACCTTTCTCAAGTGTGGCAGGTTCAATTTCATAAGCCATCAAAAATTTATACTTATTAAAGATGTGAACTTATATATAACAAAGCCAAAAGTACCGGGTTCGACTCCCGACGAGGGGGTTACAGCAGCATATAAAAAAAAAACAAAGTCGACATATATTATACTTTTTTAAGTTTAAAATATTTTTTTTGTAATTAAATACAAATCGCATACTTACCTATCGTAAGTCTAGATATAGAAGATAATAAGATAATAAATATTCTTAGCAATGTTTTAAAATCCATTTACAAAAACATTACTTAATACGCAGTGGCATAATAAAAATGGATTTTGAGCAGACTAAATTAATCTGTTAGTGATAAAACTTCCACTTTGCCCTACATACCAAACCCTTATTTATTACAACTCTTAATTTTAAAGTTAAACACATTATCTAGCAATTTTATTATCTTCCTATTGAATTATTTATGCATACATGTATCTATATTAAAAATTTTTTTTTGTATTTATTTCAGTTAAATTTTATTTATTTATTAATACCGTCATTCAAAATATATACTTTATATTTATTTA